GTGTTCAGAGAAGGGCAACGAAGCTGTTGGGGTGTTTAGAGCACAGGCCTTATGAGGACCAGCTGAGGGGACAGGGATTGTTTAGTCTGGAGGAGACTCAGGGGAGACCTTATCCCTTTCTACAACTACCCGAAAGGAGGCTGTGGTGAGATGAGGGTCAGCCTCTTCTTCCATGTAGCCAGAAATAGGACTAGAGGGAATGGCCTCAAGTTGTGTCAGAGGAGATTCAGGTTGGATGTTAGGAAATGCTTCTCTGAGAGAGTGATCAGGCACTGGAATGGGCTGCCCAAGGAAGTGGTGGAGTCTGTTCCTGGAGGTTTTCAAGAAATGTTTAGGTGTTTTACTTAGCACATGGTTTAGTGGGAAATATTGGTGATAGGTGGACAGTTGCACTGGATGATCTTGTAGGCCTTTCCCAAACTCAATGTTTCTATGATTCTATATGTAAATCAGAATAAATTTAGGAGAATGCAAAGTTTAACAGGGCAAATCTGATGAAGTTCAACAAGGGCAAGATTCTGCAGCTGAGAATGGACAAGGACAGTTCTGAATCTATGTACGGCGTGGGGAAAGAGGCTGGAGTGCAGCTCCATGGAAAGAGTTTGGGATCTCTGGCTGATGAACATGAGCCAGCAGTGTGCCCTGGCAGCCCAATGAGTCTGCAGGAGAACTGGGAAGGAAGTTTTAGAAGAGTAGGTAGTGACAGGACAAGGAGAAACGTTTTTAAACCTGAAGAGGGCAGATTTAGACTTGATATTAGGAAGAAATTCTTTACTGTGAGGGTGGTGAGACATTGGAACAGGTTGCCCAGATAAGATGTGGATGTTCTCTCCCTGGAAGCATTCAAGGCCAGCCTGGGTGTGGCTTTGAGCAACCTGGTGTAGTGGAAGTTTCCTGCCTATAGTAGGGAACTAGATGATCTTAAAGGTCCCTTCCAACCCAAACCATTCTATGATTCTAGGATTCTATTGCCTGTATTGTGTGTGTACTAAGTTATTAGCCTTCTTAGTTCTTTCTGAAGCCTTTTTTTTTTTTTTTTTTTTTTGTTTGGTTTTGTTTTTATTTGTGAAAATGAGAATGGAAGAAAATGAAGAAGCTATCTGTTGTGAAGAAATTCTGCTCCGCTATGAGAGCAGAACTACTCTTGCTCTGCATCACATGCAAATAATTCCTGATCAACTTTTTACCCTTGGGGAACTTGGGTTCACAGCTAGCACAGAAAGTCACAGTATATAACGTAGGAATTTCCAAGTAGTTGCTAGCATTGTAGATCATGCTAATGGGCTTGAGCCAGTCTACTCAAGATAGAGTTCCGTGTCTGTGATTTCTCTGCTTTCCTCACACAAATTCTTCAACCTCTGTGATTTATAGTATGTGAACTAGCAAGTAATGAAGAAATTTCTGAGAAATTTCAGGTGATCAGCACTAAAAAAGCCTCCTCTAAGGAGATTTGTTTTTCATTGCCTCTGTGAAGTTCACCAGAACAAGAAATGAATCTATTTTCATTCTGTGGGTTTAGCAATGGATTGAGCACAGGATTATTTAAAGGAAAAGCTGAATGAATATGAATAGATTGCAGAAAATGAAGTCTGCAGCAGTGAAGCTTGTATGCCATTGTATTACATTTCTAGTGAATGAGACCGGTTTTCACCTGCAGTGCAATAGAAGAATAAATAGAGAATATACTTGTGGCTTCTATAACAGCATATCCAGACATTATGTGCTGGAGAGATATAGAAAGTCATTTATTTGCCTTACATTTTTATAGCCTAGCATACAAGAACCTCTTTCATAATTGAGAATTAAGAAGATCATCTACTACACTACAGCAGCCATTTTCTAATGTTTAGACAAAGTAAATGATTTATACATATTTTGAAGGTCTGCTAGTGAAATCAGTTTCGCTTATTTGACCAGCGATGCAAGATTTGCCTTCCATGCCTTGCAGCATTAAATTATTCCTCTGTTGTTCTTTCAAGGCACTGTTTTTTTGAGCATCCAGCTATTGTATCTCTTACTGAACTCTTAAACAGGAAAGCAATGAATAAAAAGCTGCTAACATGCCTACTTTGGGATTTTTATTTTTTTTTTGGTGATAAATTAGATGATGTTACAGAAATCTCTTAGAGAGAGTGTCAAAAGATCACTAGGCAAGGGAAGTTATCAAATTTGATGAAGTTAACAATTGCCTTACCACTATACTCAGGTTGCTAATCGTAGTTAAGGTCTATTAAAAAAAAGAAATTATAAAGGACTTGAAGATATATATTAATTACACTTTTAACACTGCAGTTTCTTAACACAGAATAAATCAAGTCCTATTAGTAACTGTGAAGACATCAATGTCTGTGCCTTCCATATTCTCCTGAGAAAAGGAGAAATTAGGATTTTGATGTACAACATTGTTCTGGCGTTCCAAAAGCAGCACTCAGAATAAAGCAAACATTCTACAGCATGTGCTGACATATTAGCCTCTTGCACACAATAATCAAAACTGTCTGCACATTTAACTGACAGTTGTTAAGAGACTTCAAATACTTCATCTTGAGATAAATGGAATTTTATTTTTAGGGAGAGTGATTTCTCTTTATCATAAACGTATAAAAGGGCAATATTATTTACTGTTATTTACTGCATGCAAGTCATCCTTTTCTGTTAGCATCGTATAAAGTAATCACATGTAATAGCTTATTTCTGCAGGAATACATTTGAGCTTATAGTCAAAGTTAATGCATCTCTTCACTTCAGTGCCAGTCTGGTCACTGCGTCAACCACCTCACAGAGGACTGCAGGAAAAAAATGAATTTTCAGAGAGAAATACAATTCTCCACTGACAATGTGAAATTTCATATTAAAATGGGTAATTTTCTCCCACTTTGGCCCACGTTAACCTACTAAGTCCTTCAGCTGTATTGTAAGTATAGTTTTGCTTTTTACAATCTATGTCCAGAAGGTTAATTGGCTCTTCCACTGACCATGGGAACTTTCTGAAGTTATTCTTATTAGCAGTTCACCTTCAATTTAGACAGTACACTCAATTCTGTGATCATTGCCAAAATTCAATCTGATACTTCATCCAACCCCTTTATGACAAAGAGGATAAAAATAAGATACAAAAGAATAATCAGAACAAAATGGCAGGAGGAATGTGTAGTAAGCAAGAAGCACAGGCCTTCTGCTGTGTTATCCACACTTCTTCAATTATTCAGTATAAGCAGAGCAATTCACACCTAATTCAGAAGGATTGGAAAATATTCTGGAAAGTACATACAAAAAGCAGCACCATGGAAATATTTTCTTTGGAAGTCAGGAAGCAGTGAGTGTGATGGAGAAGTGGGAATGGGAGCAGAGAAGGAACATCTTAGACAAGGCTCTGAATGCCACAAACTGCAAGGTGGCATTCAGAATATGTTAAGAAGGAATTTAATTAATTAGTTTGTAGTCTATTGGGAACCGTTGAAAGCCCACTTCTTATACTTGCCTAAGAGCAAGTATGACTTGCTGGCTTCGGTCTGACTTACAGTTGGATTTTGAATGCATGTACAGAAGCATCTTAAATGAGAGTAAATTACAAAGAGGTTTTCCTTTTCCTACCACCTCTTTAAAGTTCTTTTTCCTGGATGAAAATGCAATGAAGAGCTTTCTAACTGAGATCTTTCCCAACCAGAGCAGCCAGTCACCCCTGGTTTGCATAAAATAAGTATGCTACTCACTGCTCATGTAAATATCATGCTTAGGTTTTAAAAGGAGGGAAGTCTTTCCCCATTTTTCCCCAGCTTCTGGGGACACAATTCTACCTCTTTCCACTTACCCGGGTTAGAATTTGTCTGCTCAAAACCCTGGAAACAAGGCTGCTAAAACAGACAAGAGTGATGAGCAAAAAAGAGTGGTTTTTGGTTTGTTTTTCGACCAGGCTGATACAAAGGAGACGTAAAGGATCACGCAGCTCAGATGCAGGCACTGATGTTACATAATGTAACATCATGTAAGAGATGTTACCTTCACTGAGGTAAAATAAATTCTTCCTTACAGCTCCTTCTCCCTTATATTGTGCAACAGGAAAGAGAAATCAATAGCAATTCTCTGAAGTCTTTACTTATAAAAGTTAATCGAATTCCAAGAACGTTATTCAAACTGCTGTCATCACATAGTAGAGAATAAGCTCATTTTTGCAAGTGGCCTGGAATTATACTTCTTCAGCGACCAAAGGCTGAGATCCTCTGACTGCTGAACAGATACAAGCCAGAGACCTGAAATGCAACATGTAGGCATCTTTCCACTATTCCTATAATTACTTAGGCAAACAAAACGATCAAAGAAACTCTACTCTTGCAGTGGAATCAGCGTCAGCCAAATGCTCAAAAAACGTGAAAATTCTTAAAGTTTTCTGTTAATGTTTCCATTCTACACAAGCCAAAAAAGCCCTTTGTGGCACTTTTAGTAATAACTACCTACAGTTTCATCAAATCTTAAGTGTTTCAAACTTTCTGGCTGTAATATTCTGGAAATTTCAAGATTTGGATATTGAAGACAAAGTATATGTAATTAAAAAGTAATCACACCACAATACATCCATCCAACACTTATCATAATAAGAAACATTTTGGGAGAACAATAATTCCAAACAATATAAAAGAAAAGCTAGATTTCCAGGAATTAGGATGCTGTAGTACAAAGTTATGGCCAAAAATACTTTTTGACCAGGAACATTTCTGAGGGGCAGTAATTGTGTAACCCACCAAAAATAAAGACAACAAAAAAACCCCAACAACCCAAGAATTTCTGTCCCTGAAAAAACAGGCAATACATGCATTTAAACGACACGTTAAGAACAGCAAATATGATCTTTATTTTTAAATACTGCAAGTTTAAAAATGTATCTGATATCCCCACCCCCACCCCCATTATAATAATTAAAAAAATTGGTCAAATAAGGATTTCCTACAGCATGGTAAATGAGGAAACCAGCAACAGGCTTCAGCTTAGACTGTATTTCAAGAAAAAAAAAAAAAAAAAAAAAAACACAACAAACCCACAGCTTTACAGTAAGATTGATCTGATTTATCTTGTATTTTTACACTGCCTTCAAAATTCCCCTTCATTCCTCTTTTTTTTTTTTTTTTTTCTTTTTTTCTTTTTTTCTTTTTTTTCCCTGCAGCATGGCTACTGTGAAAAAGCTTGAGTGAAACTTACAGCAATATCCCCTTAACTAGATAATGACTGGATTACTGATTACATGGAAATGTTTCTGTTTTGACTGATACAACTCAAAGTGTTATGGGTAAATATAAGACAAAAAAGAGGAAATATCAGTAACTCCTCACACAAAACATACAGTTTTGCAAGACCTCTACTAAACTAACAAATTAGACAAGGACAGATGGCTTTAGTTTTTTAATGCATACTAAATTTTAGAATGTATGGTTTATGTCAAAAGAGGGACTGTATTTACAAAAGCATGAATTTCTAAATTACAGTAGTTGACTACATAAATCATGTCCATTTTAATTTCCTATCTTCTGATGGTCTCTTCAAAACGTATTTATTTTACTGGTCTCTTAGCTAGAGGTAGGTCATTTGTAGGCCTTGTTAATGTGCTGTGCACACTTCATTAGTTTACAGTATGCAGGATAACCATGCACAGAGCTTCAAGAACAGCAGCACATATAATAAATAATTTGGGTAAATTTTATTTTTTCATGTGGGTTAACATGTCTTCTCCTAATATGTCATTCTTTTGTGAAGAATGTATAACAAGGAGAGGGTCCTTATGAGTAATCTGAAAATCTTCTGACCCTTACAACCAAAGGCTGGGAGCCTAGCAATGTCTTTATATGCAGCCCTTTTCCCCCCATTTAAGTTTTTGCAACTCATGCAGTCAATTCTGACTGATATCCAGCATAAAAAGTCTCCTCCATTTTCAAACTTAAAAAACTGATTCACAATCATGTGGCAGTATGATTAAAAGTTACAGTTCATACACCTTGACAATCAAAAGAGTCATAAATATAAAAAGTAAACTGCCCTTATAGCTGCATCATCCTACATATGCAAGGACAGTGCCAGATAATTAGTGAAAAAGGCAAGTTTAAGGTTTCTGTAAAACACATATAACAGCTTTCTTGTGCTAGCGAACATCTAGAATACACAGGTTACCAAGACGTTTTCCTTCCCTCCTCACCCATTCATGACATTCAAAGAAATCACATAATTTTGGCAAAGTTAAAAGGGTTTCTGTCTTATTTTTGCCTTCAGCTTCATGTTAGAGGCACAAACTCCTGGACTCAAGTACTATAAGGCATAGTAGAAATCACCAGTTAAAACAACAGCAACGACAACAACACAACAACAACAACAACAACAACAGTATATTGCAAGTGGGAACAGCTGTGTCATTTAAAAAGGAAATGTTTTTGTAAACTGTCACACTGCAATGCTGTGTTAGGTGATTTGTGTAAAGCTTGCCTTGGCATGCTGACTACTTTTTTTTTTTTTTTCCACAACATGCTCAAATGATCTAAACATTGCCACAGGTTCAACTTACTTAAAATACACCAGAAGAAGACCAGTGGCACACACTCTTTAAAACTTTTGCAATCACAATATAACTACAAAGCATGAGTAAACTTTTGTTTTGCTTTTATACAAAACTTGAAACAACATGTGCTTCTCCCAGACCTAATATTCCACAACAAAAATCAAAATAAAACAAAAAACCACCAAATCAAACCTCAGTTAGACACCACTGGCTTTTTTTCCCCCTCTCTCTCTGGCCACAGATTTATATCACTATGTCCAGCACACCCAATGCATTCCCAGGTTAAAAGAAGGGATATTATCAGCTGTGGAACTGTAAAACAAGAAGCTCTGTTGCATTTATAGCAATATCAGGACCAATTCTGTAATGCTGTATATTACACTAACTGCTCTGATCACCTATTTAGAATGCCAGTGTCACTTTTTATAACCTACACTCATCTGTTTTATCTTTATTAAACAAAAAGCTTTAACATTTTACAGTTGTTAACAATAGTGAAGTGATGTTTTGGTTGTTGTTATCTAAAGTTTCTGGAATTTCTACACTATTGTTTAATTCATCTGACGTTCTGGGTTATTTTTGTTTGTTTGTTTTTTGTTTTTTTTTTAGGGAAACAGCATATACCCACAAGTATTTATGTGCAGTGGCTTGAATCATCTTTAAACTCACTTTTCTAATAAAAGGTTCTCAGAAAGTAAAAGTAACCTAATGCAAATCTGTCAAATATAAAGAGCTTATGTTCCAATCCCAGATCTAACAGCTTACATTCTCCTCACAAAACTGGTTTCCACATCTGTACAAAGCCCTGATAAGCTTTAAGCAGATTCAGATGTGAATGGCCTCTGTCTGGGTGTCTCCAATTTACTTCTACTCAGGAATGTGCAAATGATTTTATACAGCACGATGCTAGTACCGCTCTGTACTATAGTAATTTTTTTGTTTTGTAAATAAAAAACAACAACAAATCCCTAGTCAGAAATAAACTGACAAAATTTACATTCTTCTCTCTTAAAAAAAAAGTAAATAAAATAACATTATTTAAAATGTGAATTAGCTATAAGACATACAATACAATTACATAGATACATATCAATACAGCACATTCAATTTGCCAAAAATTAATGATTACAAAGCCAATATGGATGCTGCCATATATATATATAGATGTATGTACAATGATTATAGCATTCATAATTGCACTATACCTACAACCAGTTTTAAATTACAAGGTGTATCATGAGGGACCAAAAAATAGTAATTGTTCTTATTAATGTTGTTTTGGACTTGGGAGGGTTAAGGATGAAAAACGTCTCATTAGTATTTATTGTTAACTTTGGTAATCAAAATCAAGCCATTTTTTTTTCCACCTCCCACTTGCTGCTACGAGGCAGAAATTTCTGTGTTAAGTGCATTCTAGTGCTACTTGGCAATGCAGATAATCAATCTAATTACATGCCTGATCTCTGAGTCTTCTGTAGCTTGCTAGCAATCATGCACCTGATCAGAAAACACCTTTTAACCTAAGCTGCAGAATAAAGGCTCATCAATGTGTGCTGCGTTTTTGTTGTTAAAAAAATTGCACGTTAAAATTTCAAGAATGATTTTTTTCACTGTATCATTTACACTACTACATCTTTTCTAAAGAACATCGAGAGAGGCTATTTTGCATGAAAGCCTATCAAATGTCTGTGAATGAGTTAACAAGCAACCTTATCAAGAAAGGTTCCTGTATGTGATCCCCCATCAATATTTTTTTTTGTTGTACAACTAAATGTGCCTTGATACTATCACAGAAAACAATCTCATGCCGTATCTGACATAAGGAGAGACTTGAACTGTCTGTAAATTAGCAGACCATATGCATGTGCGTGGTGCACCTTGTAACCTTGTAGCAGACTCACGCACACTGTTGTTTTTGGTATTTGAACTGAACACTTTCTGATAAAGGGAACATAGGAGCTGATATTGTTTGTATATCTTTTGGCAGTTGACTCAATCAGGTCAGTTCCCAACTCATCAGTTTGGCATTTCAATTAGTATCTTATGTTTCAAGACTATTCATTTTATAAAAGCCAGATTTGGCAACATTATTTTGATACAACAAAAATAGTTTTTCTAATGTGAAAAAAAAAAACAACCACTAACAACAAAACAAAACAAAAAAAGAAAACGATGCTTAAAAAGAGCTAAGTAAAAACAAAAAAAAAAACCACAACCAAAGAAGGAAAAAAGAACACTGTTTCAGGCTGTAGCCACTGGGGAAAATGTAGTGTCTGTGACATTTCTGTTTGGCATTTGTGAATGAAAGAAGAAAGAAAAAAACGGCACATGGCAATTTAAAAGAGATTCTGTCATATTCAGTGTACATCCTAAGCTGTGTTTTAATTATTTCATTACTGTCTTCAACGCACCTTTCCAAACAATGAAAATAGTTTAGTATTCATACAAAACTGTAATTCTACTTTGTGATCTCAGTATTCTAGTCGCAAAAGACAGAATGAAAACACTCATGTCAAGAATTTAAAAATCACAGTATCCAGACTTTTGATCCACCAGAGAATTACATACTGTGAAGTTATAATTGTCTGATGAATTCTGATGACAGTATTTTCCTGACCAAATCGGTCAACAGAAAATGTTCTTACTCGGGAATGTAACTGGGAAAAAAAGGCCATTGTACCTTTAAAAAGATAAAGAAGAAGAGGAAGGTGGGAAAGGGAAAGGGTTAGGGAAACAAGCTTGATTTTGCTCTGATAGCAGAAATCTGCTATCCTTTATAAGTGTATGACTGAGAATTTCAAATACATTGAGTCACAAGGTTTTGCCTAAAAAATGAGGAAATTTGCTGTGAATGTACTTCAGCATCTTTTGGTTTTCCTCCATGTAGTTTAAATAAAATCATAATATTAACTACAAACTCTGTGGAGTTTCACAGAGCCTAGGCCGGCAATAAATTAGTATTATGCAAATTGTTTTCACAGATAATACAGTCCCTCCTGTATATCTTCAATCACACAAAGGTGGCTCTGGAGGGCCTCCTTGGCACAGTTAGACCAGGTTGTACTCCTTCAGGTTTAACTGTAAGATTGTGTCCTTGACAGCAGCAAAGACGAAGCGGATATTCTCTGTGTCTGTAGCGCACGTGAAGTGGGAGTAGATAATTTTGTCACTGTCTGGATTCAGGTCCACGAACATCTTCAGGATGAACTCTCGGGCCGCTTGTGCATCCCGCTGTGGTCCTGGCAATTAAAAAGATAAAATCTGTTTTCTTACAGGCAATTCAATATTTGAACTTCGTAAACAGTGAAATGCCTTTGTCCCCTCTCCCAGCTCTTCATTCCAGTGTGTGTCAAGTCTTCTAGTACTAACCATGGAAGAATGCCTCCATGTGATACACTATTCTTTGAGCATACCTTAGCCCTTCTTCCCATGGTTTTTAACACTTTGCAACAGAGCTGCTTAGAGTAATTTAAAGCACCCCAATTTGTCACCCTGGCTTGCAGTTCTCATCCTTATGCTACCTTCTCCACTGAGCTGTGAAATAGGAAAACAGAAAGGAGAAGTGATCCACTTTCCCACATCTGCACACCTCTCACATTGCTAGTAAACTGGAACAGTGAAGGACATCACATCATGACCTGTGCAAGCCGCAGACTGAAACTCCACCTTCCTACCAGAAGAAATCAAATCAAACCATAATCAAAACATAATCTTGTCTGCAGAATTAAGTCAGGAAGAACTGTAGAATCAAGACACAGGGACTTCCACGTCTGAACTCCAACAGCTTTAACACTCCTGAATCTTTTTTTTTTCCCCTCACCATGGCAGATGGCAAGAGAAATAGGGTTTCCCTGAACAGAGTGATTGAATATTGCCTGTATTTTTCTAGACAAGCATTAACACAGGTGTTATCTCAATTTCAGTGTTGATAACACATTGTCTTGTAGAGTCTTCTCACCTTTAGGATGTCATCTAAGGAATCTGTCATAGGAAATAAACTAGAAAGAACAAGATTCTTCTCTATTCAACTGCCAGTTTTCTCCCACCCTATCAAACTAAATTCACTTATTATTAATACAGTCTAATCCTGCAGCCTGTTCACTGCTTGTAACAACTCTCAGACACACAGCCTTAAATAAAACTGAACCTCAAGTAAAGAGTATGTAAGACAATGTGTAAAACAAGGAATGTATTTTCATTTATTTTTAGCTTTTACACTTCAGTTCCAACACTCACTCCAACTTATGAAAATAAACAGAATCCAGTCACTGTCAACAAAATAATAGTCATCTAAAAATTAACTATTTCCCATGAAGTTATGAAGTGTACTGTCCCCCTACAGACAGCAGAAAATGAAATCACAGCAATCTAAAAATTGTACAAAGACTTCAATCTCATTTTTAAAAGATGAGATGATTATAAATTGCAAAGGTTTTTTCCTGTTTTGTTTTTTTTTTAATTTTTTTTTTCTTTAATTATTACTACATTTTGTCGGTACTGCAGTGTAAACAGAGAACAAGCTCTAATGTAAGTATACTTACCATCATACTCTGGAAAATAATCAACTAGATGGGAGTACATAATTTTCTCTTCTAAGAGATCCTTTTTATTTAAGAACAGAATGACTGAAGAGTTCTGGAACCATGGATATGTGATAATTGTTCTAAAGAGTGCTTTGCTCTCTTCCATTCGATTCTGGAATAAAAAAAGAGAAAGTAGTTAAATATTTAAAGAAATACATACAATCAATTTAAGCAATCTTACTTTAGTTGGCAAACAGGACCATTTTATGTTTTGCAACTTCAATTCAACTACAACTAATACATAAGCAGTTAGGTAAATATGCAGCTATTTTCCTTTTGCAAACTTAAAACACAAGTATTCTTTAAAATACAGGTCATGAAAATGAATGCTAGAAGTGATACAAATATAAAGTCAGACTATACAGAGTTATGACCAGCCACCAAACTTGTGGCTACTGAGATGCATTTGATTAATGGAAGGGACAACTATAACAGGAAAATACCTAAGGAACAATTCAAGGTTGAAGAATGTTAGTTATTTTACAGGCCTTTCTTGAATTCTAAATACAGAATTATATAATTCATGGAAAGATCAGCCTTAAAATGGTAGCAAATAAATTTGGTACCTGAGAATGCTTCCTCAGTGTCAAAGACTTATAACAAAAACTTTTAAGAATGCAAATTGTTAAATTTGTTCCTGACATCAGTAGGTTAGCCTTTAATTTATTGCTTAAATGCTCCTTAACTGCTCTTTTCATTACAGCTGAAAAGCAAAGCTTATATTGCTATTTATCGTTTTTGACATAGTGAAATTGCATTATGATTTGATAAAATTCTGAAGAACTGTTAGATTGGCATGTGGTTAACAGAGCGCTGGAACAAATTGAGTTCAAACCCAGAAATTATATTCCTCTCTTTTATTACGATTAAAGGAACTGCCTCCTCAAAAGAACAGTTTCACCACCAACAGGAAGGAATTGAATCCTGCAGATGTTGCTGTTGTTTAGTAAATCAGTGGTAGAAGACTCAGACAGTTATGCAATAAGTGTATCTTTACTTGCATTGATTTGCATTTTAAAGAGACCAACAGGATGAACTAAGAAAAAAAAAATCATTTTGTAGAAACCCATGATTTGATGGTCATCCTTTACAGAACACAATTTCAAGTGATTCATAAAACTTGACAGCATGTTGAAGTGTGGATGAAAATAGAAAGCCAAATTATAGGTTGAGAAGCTAATGCACAGAGTAAAATCTTTTTTGTCTTCTAGTCACTTCTTATTGACTTCTTATCCAATTCAATTCATATGACTCACACTGATTTCAATGTTGTCAGGATTTCATTTAGAAACAAGAAAAACTGAAACATCAACAGAGTTAAGCATAAAACCTAAGTCATTGGATAAACAGATAATCAGACTTCTCTATGTTCTGTAAAGATTTTTTGTCTACTTTTAGAGAGGTAACAAACAAACAAATCGGAGACCAAGCGGGTCTCTATGATTTCAGAGACTTCCATTAATTCAAAGGCAATCTAAAATCCCCATAAAGCAGACTTCCTAATAAAAAAGCAGTGTAAAGGAGCTGCTTTAGGAAAAAGTCCTATCAAAGGAAATTGAGCTTTGAGAAACAATTTGTAGACATGGTCAATCAATAATTTCAGTCTAGATAACTGAAAGAAGGACTGAGCTGCAAGTCAATAAAATACTACTAGATTATTGCAGACTCCCTCACTTCACTGTATTCACTAATAAAACTACAAGTTCTGTTTCTAAAGAAGTCACTCTCTTCCAAAGTTCATCTTCAACTACATTTCCAGGATGCGCAGTGCTAAATATGAGTCTATTCCCGAATCTTGGAAAGTAAGCTTTAAAGAGGCAACAGTGGACTGATGGTCCCGCTAATTTTAAATGAAGTTATCCAATTCTAAACAAAATCAAAAGGAATTTGTTGACAGAGCTCACTGATATAGAATTAACTCTAATGATACAAGGACCTTGCCCTGTACAGTAGTAAGAGCTGAGGATATTGCAAAGGTGAAATAAAGTCCTGCATACTAACTGGTATCTCTGGGCAATGGTAACTATTTCACTGTGGGTACATCACTACAGAACAGCACTTACAGCATCTTCATGTACAGATTGAAGCAAACAGTAGCAACTAAGGTATCAAGAGGACTGCAGAAATATTTTCTAAATATGCGTCACACTGTAATGTTCCATAGACATATACGTCCTCAAGAAATATGTATGTGATAAGATAGTACTGCTAGAATGTCATGAGATCAGATTAGACAATTCCAGGGATTCGATGCAGATTTCACATCACTTACACAGATAATAAGAGTCTTGTAAAGTCTCATTCAAGTATAAATTAAGAAAATTTCAGTTCAGTTCACTGCATTATACACACCGCATTGTGTATATTACTAAATAATTGCTACAGTGCTATTTTACTGGATGGAAAGTGATGGACTTTCTAGGAAAACATTGCCATTTGCATTTTGAATTTACGGTTGTTTGGTTGTTTTTTTGTTGTTGTTGTTTTTGTTAAATATGTCACTAAACAACATAGCGTAGTTAAAATGAAGAGGAAGTGGAATTGATATTTGTGGAAGTAGCTGAAAAATACCCCAAACATGAAAATTATGACCATTATTTCTTATCTTGTTAACAAGTTAATAACCTAGATTCAGCAAAATACACAAGTCACTCTGAAAGTGTGACAATAGATACAAAGAACATAACAATAATAAAATAACATCTAAAAGACCTATCTGCTGACACCTAGCAAAAACAGAAATTCCCAGCTGAATAAAACAAACAGGGCTTTGATAGACCAGAAAATTCTGGGTTCAACATTAATCTGAAACAAAACAGAAGTGATGGAGATTCACTCAAAAATATAATTGTCTAGAGTGTCATCTAGTGGGCAGAATGTAAGTTACATATTGAAAAAATTCTGCTATCAACATTCTTCTTATAAACTCTTAATAACCTAAGTAGCATCTGTTAACAAAATTAGGAATTCACAAATTTTTAGGGAATGAATGTCACTGAAGTGTTGGGAGAAAATGTGGTGAAGCAGACAAGCGTTCTTAAATTAACAGCTTCCATAGTATAGGTAATTGTTTATGCTGGTAACAAATGTTTATCCAAGTGAGAGGACATTCAGAGATGATAACTGCAGAACAGGAGGTACTGGCATGAGAGCTTCATAAAAAAAGCCCTTACAGATCGCAATATTCCTGAAGTTGCTTAGCATCAAGTAATACAGTATATTATTTTACATGACATGGTGTGAATGGTTTTTGTCGGAAAGTCTGCATTAATTAGGAATGTCTCCAATATACAAAACGGACTTCCAGCAATTATTCAGACAGAACCGCCTGGCTGCAGAGAAGACCCTGGAGTGTATTCCTTGGCTAATGGGGCTGCTAAATGAAAAGTTGGGAAACAACAAAGGAAATGAGAGGTGGGAAGTAAGGGGAGATTTCTCTGCCATGAAAAAGAGTAAATACAGCATCAAAACTGTGCTTCTGATTTTTACCATCAGTATGCAATATAATCTTGAAGCCATACTGCTGTAACTGGCCACTGTGAGAAAGGACTTAAGGGCCACAAAAACATGTTTATGAATAATTCAAAAAGAGACTACTTCAAACACAGCGCTCAGAAATAATTCCTCTATTTGGTTTGCTTTGTCTTGAATCTTTCTGCAAATAAACCTCACAAAACAGACAAAAAACAACAACAAAAAAATGCTACTGACAGAAGACTGGAAGTCAAATCCATTGCTGAGACTTGTATTTCCAAATCACCTGGAAGAAGACGTCTAACCACTTCAACAATGTGGAGTTGCAGCACTGATGCTGAAAATACATCGCAATTTTATGCACGTAGCAAAGGTAGAAATAAATGATATAATGACTGAAATCCATAAAAATCGACATATTCAGAAACCAGCAATTCACAAAAACACCGACAAAACAGAAATAGTCTGAAAAGTGATATAAACATTGCTACCACTATATCTTTATATGAAAAAAAGAATATTCTATTGATTGGAATGAAATGATATGAATGCTGTATTAATAAAATCGTCATCAATATCCACATCCTTCTGATAGAAAATAAAAACAGAGAAAATGTATCTAAAATAAAACTGTTGTTGAAAGATGCTGTTCTCTACTCAGTTTTTACATTGGTTATTGAACAAAAGAAATGGCAATTTCTTTGCCAGTGATTGCTGCCAACAGCAACATTTACCAGCAGCACTTCTGTCAGCTTTGCAAATGAGTTCATGAACATTCAACCGCTCAGTTCCATTATTATCCACCTACTCTAACAAAAAGAAAAAGGCCCCAGCTCTTCCATACACAAATGCTCAATACTTTACACTTCACGTTTAAAGGGTTCTTTATCCATAAACCAAAAAGAGAATATGAAATACAGTACACCCATTAGATAGTTTTGGCACAGAAGATTAATGTGTTATTTTCTCTAGTTTCCAAATAAACAATGAGTTCTGGAGATTTTATTTACTGTTAATATTGTTAGGCAATTATGAAGACCATTTGAGGATTTTAATTCTATCTGGGAGTTTGCATTATCCCTCTGTCCTATGCTCAATTGTTCTGAATTGCTGAATGTTGGAAAAAGAGGCAACTGAAGAATTGTTTATTTGTAATGTAGAAAAAGTGCTCTGATCTCAACATTGTTTTCTTTCAGTCTTCGTGCTAAGCCATGCAGGACCAGCCTGTGAGTAAGGAACACAAAGTGCTCAAAGAAAAGTGGAAACATGCCCAGATGTGAACTCAAAGATTGTTCTGATGTAAGAATGCAACACGTTCTTCAGATAATTACCTCTGTGAAGAGTGGAAGTATTCTAAACTCCATGTCCTCATGTCATTCTTATTTTTGGCTTACATTAAAAGTAAGTCTGACTGGAACACTGTTCTCATTTGTCACCCATTAACAGACCACACTGATGAACATTACAGAGAGAGTTTGGATACTCCTTACTTTTACAGACTGAATCTGCACAGATGAATTCACACAAAAAAATATCTGTCCTGGGTTTCGGACTTTTAATACACTAGACATTAACTGAAATATTTTTTTAACAAACCGAGAAACATTGACTACTTCAGACAAGGAACAATAAGGTTTT